TAACAGCTTTATTTTTATTTTTCCCTTTCTGATTTTCCCCCTGTTGTGAGACAGAATGAAAAACACAGGAGGGAAACATTTCAGTTGCTGACTATATCGATCTCATTGTTGTACTTTCTGGAAAACTTTAATAAATGTCAAGGATTCTTGCAGCCCTCCCCCTTAAGAAAAGAGTGCAATGCCCTATTAAATGTCTTAGAGCTGTCACTGGTTGCTTATTGCTGTAATCTTTAGACTGAGTCTTTGATCATGACAAGACTGGACAAAACCTGTTGGCCAAAGAGAAAGAACAACCCAAACCTCCTGTCTCCAACATCTTTGCTGTGTTAAAAAGGCATTGCTCAAGGCTACTTGTCAACCCAGGACAGCAGAAAGACTTGAACTACCGTACCTTTTTAGAAATTAGTCTTTGGCCATGCTCCTTGGTTTTTTTGTTGTTGTTGTTTTTTTTTTTTAAAAAAATGTAGTCCAAACAAGTAACTTTCCCATTGTCAAATAATGAGTACCATTGTTGCATATGCAGAGTATATTTTCCATTTCACAAGTAACTAAGTTTATCCCAACAAAAATCATGATTCCTCAACATAGACTGAGGCTGCTAGGAGTTGCAGTCCAGTAACATCTGGAGGGCCACACAATTCAGAATGGCATGGTTTCTGGTTCAAAAGACTGACGAACCCTCCTGATCTCCTGATCCCCTTTTGCAGAAGCTTAGACCCCTACTGTCTCTCATTCGCTTAGCAGACAAACTCTGGGAAAAGACAAATGATCAAACTGAGTTGAGTTACTACATGTCCAGTCAGGAACTGGGCTACCATTTGGCCAAGCAAACCAGTGGGGAACTGAGCAGTTGTGGGTCAGCCCTTCTGCTCCCCTGCTGTCTCCAGACTCCATGGAGCCAGCACCAGGAGCTATCACAACTTAGGGGAACCAATGCCAAGCCTGCTACTGTTACCTGTGAAGCAAGAGAGATCTCACCCTACTTGGCCATTAGGCCTAATTGTTGACTATTATCTTTTCCTTTGATGCACAATTAACTGTCAGTTAACTCCCCTTTCCAAAGATCTCACAAGGGGAGATGGGACTTTTTTTTCTAGGCATTAGTTAGTAATGGGAAGCTAAGGGAAAGAGGCAAGCTGTGGGTTTCATCCAGCTGTTTTCAACACATCTGCAGCTCAATGTGAAAAAGGAAGGAGGATGTAAAGGGGGAAAATTTGTCTTTGAAAAGGAGGCAGAGGAGGGGATAAGAATGTTAAAGGAGTGTAAAGAAAATTGCCATTTGAGCATGTTAAAGGGGGCGGCATATTTTTAAATTATAAAATATGGTAACTGTAAGGAAAGCTTGATGAAAGAGAAGTGAACAAAGAGTTTTGTGTGAAACTAAAAGCAGACATGGAGAATGTGTGACATTTAAGATATTCTTGGATTTAGGTCACATCATCTCTCATCATTGGCTATACTGACCAAGATTGATGGGAACAGCAATCCAAGAACATATGGAGGGCACAAATTGCCTACCCCTGTCTTAAAGACTAATACGTTTAATATGGCAAAGGCTTGGAAACAGGAAAAATAAATTGCTAGCGGATTCTGGGAACTGTAGCCCCAAAAGGTAACTTTTTCTGAGCAGCTTTGATGGACCAGAGCCAAGAAGCCTTCAGTTTCTAAATATGGATTCCCATCTCTTTTCTGCTTGGATTCTTTTGTCTTTAATAACTTGATAACAGATGCAAATTCAGTGGATTACTGGTATAGCATGAACAAATCTTGCCAAGAAAATCCTGTGTGATTGGTTCACTTTAGGGATGCAATAAACTTGAAGGCACACAACAACAACAACAATGTTGATGTAGCAACTTCTCTAGCTCCACATCTGGTTGTTAGGCAGCTTTTAAAACCCAGAGTGGATATCCAATGCCCAACCTACCCATTTTCTGTTCAGATTATCTGTCAGCATGGCTTTCAGTCAGGGATAATGGGAGCTATAATCCATCAGAGGATTACAAGTTACCAAAATCATCTTTAAAAACAGAATTGTGATCCAGATGTTAAATGGTATACTAGATCATATTGGCCATCTCTATGCATTTTTCTTTTCTTGTGTGATTACCCCGTTATTGAGGTTTCCCTTGGACTGAACATTGTTAGGTGGGTCTCTTAATTCTTTTTATAGATGCATACCATCAGAAATTCAAGAGATGATCATTTTGTATCTGCATCTTCACCAAAGGAAAAATTGTTGCGTTCAAAGGAAACAGAGCCCTGGCAAGACAAGATAACCTTAATTTGGGATGCTTTATGTAGAGTTAAATCCTGCTTGGGCTATAATAAGGATCAATTGGATTCCATGCAATACTGGTGCCAAAAATATCTGAGGTGATGGGAGTTGTCCAACTCAAACACATCCAGAGGGTACCAGGGTGGCACGGCTCCTAAACAAAATGTGTGTGTGTGGGGGGGCAGGTGTATGCATGTGTACATACACGTGTTACAAAATGAGCACATATACACCTGAGATTTCAGATTGGAAGGATCCAGGTAATCTCTGTTAAGATTTTTGTGAAAGGCTTTTGGCAGAGAAGGCCATCCACATCTGCAAAACATTCTAAAAATTAAGTAGATGAAATAACTAAGGATGTAGATTCCACTTCTGTGTTCTCATTGACTTAGAGAGGTGCTTCTTAAACTATCTGAATGTGGCAGAGCAGCAGATTGTTTTTCCTTATGTGTCAGGAACTGGTACATATTTCTTCCCATTGACTACAACAGTTTCTTTGATCCTGGAAACTCACCATACACCAGCAACCAATGGCTTGTGGGCCAGCATTGCTCTACTCACCATAACATTGAATAGGACTGATTTCAAGTCTTCTACTACCAGCATGCTAAATTTCAGTGGAACTCTCTCTTCAGAGATGAATCAAAAATATATGAGACATAGTATGAGTGTGTGTGTATGTGTGTGTGTGAGAGAGAGAGAAAGAGAGAGAGACTTACAGGTCTCATCTGCTCTTTTCTTTTCAGGCCTTCTCTATGGATTTCATGATCCCTGCCTTTTGATCCTTAAATCTTTTTCAAAGAGTTAAAAAGACTTACCCAGATAAACCCAGCTTTAGGTTCCACAGCTTTATTGTTATTTGAAACCAATGGCTACCACTGTGATTTGATTTTCCATATCAGAGCAGAAAGGATGGGAGAAGGGTCCTAATCTGTAAAGAGATGATTAACTATATTATAAAGAGGCTGAGACTGTGGGTGGGTGGATGTAAAGTGATCCCATAACCATGTTTTTAAAAATGTGTGAGTTACATAGGCCTTTTAGTATGAACACAATGATACCACCACCATCATCGCCTCTTCTTCTGTCTCAAACAAAGCAAGGAAAAAAACAGGACATGGGACAAGTTAGTGGTCATGGATGCTTCAAACAAAAGGTCTTCTTACCCCCAGTTAATCTCATTGATGCTTAATTGACTATCTAATAGCAAGGATCAGGACATCAAAGGCTTGGCTAAATAAACTTGTTAGCATTTCCAAAGAGGGTGGAGAGTGTTACAAACAGCCATCAATTTGCTTATGGTGGATACTTAAAAGGGAAACTGCCCCTCTGAGTAGATAATGATGTGTGATCTTAAATGAAGCCTAAGAAAGGGGTGGTAGTAGGGGAGCAGTATTGTCTCCCATGCAAAACCTAAGAACAATGGTAGTCTGGAGGGAATGAGGTGAGAGCTGCCTGACTTCAAATCTCTTTGATCACCAAAGCCCATCCCTGAGTAGTTGGTGATCCTGTCAGACTACTGGCGCCTGGGCCTGTAGGGCTGTCTTCTTTTACAATCTCTCTCTCTGTACAGTGGATTGGGTAGGTATTCCCCAAGAGGGAGTAGTGCTCTTGCCAGGTAGTTTATGACCTAAAAGAGAAGGGAAGGGAAGGGAAGGGAAGGGGAAAAATATGGCTCCTCTTCTTGGCATCCAAATGGAGTCATAGGAAGGCATATGTGTACCTTCAAGTTGCCTGTTGACTGATGGCATCTATTTCATATTGTTTTCTTAGGCAAGAAATACTCAGAGGGTGGTTTTGCCAGTTCCTTCCTTTGAAATATAGCCTACAGCACCTGGTATTTGATGGTGGTCTCCCATCCAAGGCTGACCCTACTTAGCTTCCAAGATCAGATGGGATCTGGTACCTTTGATCTGATGGGTTATTTGCATCTCATATACCTAGGAAATAGAAAAACAAAGATTGCCATAGGTGGGTGGTGGGCAAGGTCTCAAACCCACAGTTTAAGACAGGGGTAGGCAACCTTTCCCCTTTAAGGGCCGAGGGACTTCAACTCCCAGAAGCCTCAGCCATGTTGGCCAATAGTTCCATGTTGGCCAATTAGCTCCTGGGATTCTGGGAGCTGAAGTCTCACAGCCCTTAAAGGGGAAAGGTTGCCTACCCCTGGTTTAAGATGATCCTATGTGCTCAAAGCAAAATGCCACAAGTGTGTGTGTGTTTTCTTTCAAGTTGCCTGTTTTATTTATGGTTAAACTTTAGTGTATACATGTTTTTGAGTGTGCTATAGCTCGGTAATGAGTACAAGTAACTTCTTTCCTTCCAAGGGATGCATACTTCTTCAGAGAAGTTCAGAGTGTGCATACCCTCCAACATTGCACAGATGAAAATAGGGGTATGTGTAGCCAAGCAACATCACAGTGTGGTCAAAATGGCAAAAGTTATGAATAAGGACGAAAACACAGAGGCTGTGGCAGTCTTCTTTTACCTGAGCCTACAGGGAAGGGCAGGAGTCTGTTCTGTCTCTCCAATAGGTCACTTGAGTGCAAACTATTTTGCACTTTGAATTCAATCTGAACCAACTGAAGTAACCTGAGGACAAAAGGGGACAGTGGGAGAAGAGAGAAATGGGGACATTTTAAAGCAGCTGAAAAACTAGGATTACAGAGAATAAGTCGGGGCTGTCCTTGCCAATTCCAGATAGTTGGAGGGTTTGTGTGTAGGTGCCAGTGTGATGTAGTGGTTTGAGTGTTGGACTATGACTCTAGAGACCAGGGTTCGATTCCCAGCTTGCTCATGAAAGCCACTGGGTGATCTTGGGCAAGTTACATACCGTCAGCCTCAGGGGAAGCCAGTGGCAAACCTCCTCCCAACAAATCTTGCCAAGAAAACTCCAGGATAGGGTCACCTTAGGGTTGGCATAAGTCAGAAACAACTTGAAGGCAGACTACAACAAATGTGTGTGTATATATGTGTGACTGCATTCCACACATATGGTTCCGCCAATGGGTGCGACGACAAATGACAAATACCAGCATATTTGAGAAGCTCTGACTGCCTGTAGCGAAGCCTTAGGAAAGACATTCCAAGGCAGTGGGTGGGTAGGTAGGGAAAATTGGTAGAAAGGGAAAACCTACCTCCAAGGTATCATGTGGAAAGGGAACACAATCTTTTGGAGAGCCCCACAGGGCCAGACTGGACCCCAGGAATGGTGAACTGGACCTCAGGACCTGTGGTTGTCCACCACTGCCCCCCCCCCCATATAATGGCTCACTTTCTGATAAAGTTACAGGAATACTTACTGGCTAACTCAGAGGAATATCGATTTGAAGACAGAAACCAAATCTTTAGCTGTTAGACCTTTTAAACACTCATTGGGCTCCCTGTGTGTGTGTGCGTGCATGCGTGTGTTGCTGAGCTGCTTATCATTTTATGGTGTTTCTTACATGGTTTTATAATGTTGCAATTTATTGTTTGTTTTGAAAGACTGTATACTATATTTCAATACTCTAGCTCAGGGGTAGGCAACCTAAGGCCCGGGGGCCGGATGCAGCCCCCCAAGGCCTTTGGACCGGCCCCAAGCCAGTCCTGCCGCCGCCGCAGCCCCCCCCCACCGCTGCTCGCCATGATGATATTGATTATTGTTGTTATTACTTGTTCTTGGGGTTTTCTTGGCAAAATCTCCACAGGGGTTTTGCCATGGCTTTTCTGTGGCTGAGAGAGTGTGCATGCATATTTTTTAAAAAATTTTGTAATTATTTATTTATTTATTTATTTATTTATAGTGCTTCGGCCCCCCAATTGTCTGAGGGACAGCAACCCGGCCCCTGGCTCAAAAAGGTTGCCTACCCCTGCTCTAGCTTGTTTGTCTTGAGTCCTAATATGCCCAGAGGATGTTTGATGATGGACATCCACATACATTTAATAAATTATATTGTTTACATTTCAGAATTGCTAACATAACAGCAGAATTGCAGCCGGAAGCCAGCCCAACCCTGGAACCTCTGCTTGCATTGCCAAGAATCCAGTCTTTGAAACTGTTTAATAACAATAAGGAAAGCATGCACAGAACATGTGCAGAGTTTTTTCTCATGAGTAACAGTTTATGCCTCCTACCTATGAGACTTACGGAACAAGTAAGGTTTTCTGTTTAAAGTGGAAGCATTCATGTAGGACTAATCCATAGTGATTTTCTTGATTTTACGCAGACATTCATGTTTTTTTATTCCTCCAAATAAAGGTCACATTTAAAATCCTTTAACAACGCAGTAGTGTGTGTTTGCTGTTGTTGGTATAGAGAAATTGGTGACTCATTAGCCATAGAACACAAAAAGAAAGTGATTAGATGCCACTCATCTGCTGTTAAGCATTGACATTTAATTAAACTTATTTCTTTTAGCACACTACTGTGTCCTTGTCAGCAGAATAATATCAGTGTTATTTAGCTCCTTGCTTGGTATCTGGTCCACTAAAAAGAAAGACAAGGAAAACAAGTATTGAGAATAGCATCCCATGCTAAATTTAGAAAGAAAAAGCAATAAAAGGGGAGGGAAGGAGAAAGAAACAATAAAATAAAATAAAATAAAATAGGAAAAAATGGGTAGAAAATAATAAGGAAGCTGGACTCTGCATCCCACAATCAGATGTGGGGCAAACAAATCGATAGTACATAGCCAGAATTGTCTACTATGAAATGGTCTACAGTTCCATGCAGTCCAAAGCTTTCTGTACATACAGGGCCCTGTCAAGCATAGCAACCTATGCCAACTATAGCTTAAAATAAGTACAAGAATAATAAGGGGTTGGTGCTGTGCAACATATAATGAGCTTTGGGCCATTCCAAATCATATACCCATGGATCCAGGATCAAGTGGATCAAGTTTTCAGTGGATCAAGAGCCATTTTCTACCATCACCCAAACCTGCTGCATGTTGCATCCATTCTCTTCTGGTAAAAATTGGAAACGTGTGTGTGTGTGTGTGTGTGTGTGTGTGTGTGTGTGTGTGTGCTGCTAAAACAAGGTGGAAGGCTCACTTTAGTGAACTGTGCCACCTAGAGGCAAGACTTCCTTGTTTCACCCAAAAGATATTGGAAAGAAAGTGATATGGAGTTTGGGGGTCCAGGGAAAATGGCCTTGGTGATCGCATGTGGCCCACAAGTCACAAGATTTCTGTCCCTGCTTTATCGGGGTGGTGGGTTTTACTTAACTCAAAGTTTCTGTAGTCAAGGGCACTGCCAACCATGAACACCACACCAGGAGCAGCTGGAACAGAACAAGGGACTGGAGCTTGACAGGTCATATGAATTGAGAGCACCTCCAGATGAGAGAGGGGAAAAATCCTGGAAGTCCCAGGTGTTTGTTCCTGTACAAAACAATTTTATTTTGGTGACTCACATGACATTTTCTTCATCCTGAAGTATTTCTTGGGAGCTGCTCAATTTATCAAGGATTTATCATTCCCTCCCCCCAAATCAGTTTAGACCAGGGATGGGCAAAGTGGTCTGCAGGACGTATTCTTAAATGTGCTGCCAAAGCCCTTTGCATACTTATATTCCAGACTAACAAAGCTATATTGCTGAACTTAACTACTGTAACACTACTAAAGCTCCTGAATAATTTTTTTAAAGGCTCAATGGAAACTGGAAACTAATTTCTGAAATGTTGCATGACACTGGATAGGACAAGTGATCAGGGAAGGGAGGGGACTGAAAGACTGGATGCAACGTGTATAGTAAAAACAAAATGAATTGGAAACTCTTGTGACCTCCAAATACTTTTTTTTCCCATCAGGAGGTGCCCTGGGCTGTTTTGAGGTTCTTCACATGCAGCGAACTTGGAACAAGAAATCAAATTCATCATTATTTAAATTTGAAGCCTAATTTAGAATGCTTCCTTTCCCCAGGAATCTCCCTACCTGGCTCTGTATACCACATTGGTCCAGATAGGATTTGTAGGTTAATGCAGGGGAGCAGGAATTGGAATGCCCTCCAAATTGTTGTATTTTTTATTCTAGCCAAACATAAGAGTCTTACCAAGGCAATCGGTACACCTTCATCTTGTTTAACGTTTCTGATTTTGTTGTTGCTTACCCTCTAGTTGACTCTAACTTTGTGAGAACCTTCTCTTAGGGATTTCTTGGCAAGATTTCTTCAGAGATGGGTTGTCACTGCTTCCCTCTGAGGATGAGAGAGTGTGACTTTGTGTAAGGTCACCCAGTAGCCTTCTACGGTTGAGTAGGGAGTCCAACAAACCACAACAGCATGCTGGGCCTTATCTGGTTATTTCCTCTTTTATCAAACACTTGTCTGACAAAGGACAAACCATTTTATGTGAAAGATGTTCTGATGGGAGAAGTTTTAATTCTAGAAGGTTAGCTCAGAGCTTGCCTTGATGAGATATTATAATAATAATAATAATAATAATAATAATAATAATAATAATAATAATAATAATAATAATAAATTTTTATTTATAGCCCGCCCCTCTGTGCAGCAATCGGAGATAATGAAAGTATTCAGAAGGGTCAAAACCCTTTTTGATCTAAATGTTCTTTTCTTCAGTAATTTCAAGATGAAGCTGTAACAGAACCCAGATCCTCAATTCTGGCTATAAGAAGAAAGACAATTGCCTAGAGAATATAGTTTGTGAAATGTCTAGTCAGTTTTTGGTCCTAAATCCTAATGATAGAACCATCTATTGAGACAGAGAGAGAGAGAGAGAGAACACTGATTATTCAGCAAATGAATATGTGGGTTTACTAAAGCTGAAACTAGCAACTGGATTTAGGTTTTGGGATTTGTTTACTGGACATTATTAGTTTTGTAGCTGTTAAATGTGTCAACCAGTGTGATATAATGGTTTAAGTGTTGGACTAGGACTCTGAAGACCAGGGTTCAAATCTCTGCTCAGCCATGGAAAACCACTGGGTGACCTTGGGCAAATCACACTCTCTCAGCCTCAGTGGACAGCAAAAGCAAACCCACTCTGAACAGATCTTGCCATGAAAACCTTGTAATAAGTTAGAAATAACTTGAAGACACACAACAACAACAAATATACCACATTTATTCCAAAAAGCAGATAGTACCTCACTTGTGTCTTCCTGAAGCTTCAGTTTAGATTTGTGTTCAGATAGGAATATCTGGCTCACACCCTGAAATTGGCAATTCACAGTGGGGATAAATGTAGAATAACATTAAATTCATTAAGTTCAAAGGATGCCAGATCAGGTCTGTGATCTTGAGAGCAATTTACTTCAGAATAATCCCATTCAAATTAAGAGAAACACTCCCAAGAACCTGGCTTCAGGGTGATGGAAGCAACAGTCAGCTTGGATTGATTTAAATCTAAATAAAAGCTAGGGCAATTTAAATCCAGCCTCCCCACAGATACTTAACATTTCTAGACAATGAGGCATACTATTTAGTTAATTTGCAATTGTTTTATTTATTTATTTATTTATTTATTTTTTACTCCACCTTTGTACTGAAAAATAGCACTAGTTGGGCAGCTAACTAGGAGGAAAATCAAATTTAAAAAGCACTGTTAACATATACAGATAAATTAAACACAGTTAAAACACATCAATAATAAAAAGACGTAACACACTCTGCCTATTAAAAATGCAGAGTCTTGTGGTAACAAACCATCTGCTCTAATGAAACATTGGAGTCTTTGAGGTGCCACAACTCTCTTTGTTATCTGTACAACACAACCTCCTATAGCCAAGGGCCAGATCCTAAGAGTTGCAACAACTTGCCTGTCCTTGGCCTTTAGTGTCAAACCCACAACAAGAGTGCCTATGATCTGCTGAGCTATATTTGTAAAGCTTCAGCAAGATGCATCTTTCCCGTGATTTTCTAGTCCCGAAATGGCAAACCTTTGGCATGTGTGCCGGAGATGGCACATGAAGCCATTTTCCTTGGCACGCGGAGGCCAGGGAGGAGGAGAAAAGGCATGCACCTGTTTCTCCTTCCCGACCCTCCCCAGTCTTCAGTTACCTCTCTGGAGGCAGTTGAAGGCTGGGGATGGCATGGGGGGGAGGAGGAAGAAGAGGCGTGCACTTGTTCCTCTTCTTCCCCCCACCCCTCTGAGCCTTCAGCTGTCTCTGGAAAGGCAGCTGAAGGCTCGGGAGGGCAGGAGGGGAGAGGTCCCACCCCCCAGAGGGCAGAAATCACCCTCAGTAACACCCAGTGCTGGAAGGCCTTTAAGGAGCTGAACAGACCACCCAAAAGGGGTGGTGGCAAGCCGCCCCTTTGCTCACCCAGTGAGGGTCATGGCAACCGCATGCTGTAGCCCCAATCCGGTGCTTTGCCGCTCTAAAAAGAACCGGCAAAATGCCACTCCTTTTTAAAGTGGCAAAAAGCTTTCATTGCTTTTAGAGTGGCAAAAAGCTTTCATGGGAATTGTATTTTTTTTTTTTTGAGACATTGAGTCTTCTCTGTCAGAGAGCTCTGGTGCCACAATAAACTACAGTTCCCATGATTCCCTAGCACTGAGCCAGGGCAGTTAAAGTGGACTCAAAGCTGCATTATTTCTGATAGTCTGTATAGACCCATGGTGTAATCTGCAGATAGGACTGTGTCTTTAGATTTCCTACTGGGGTTTTTCTCTCTACTTGTTTCTTCTTTTGTCCCTAACTATAAATGGTTTCCTTTTTCATTCAAATAATTATTTAAAAAAAGATATTCAATGTTATTTTCCACAAGGCTAATGGAATCTGTGTTACATATTATGCTTTCACACTCATAAACAGCCTACTCTGGAAAATAAAAAACCACAGTAGACCCTTTCATACTGCATAATTACAGTAGTATGATTCCACTGTAACTGTCATGGTAACATCCCCTGCAATCCTGGGTTTTGTAGTCTGGTGAGTCACAGAGCTCTCTCGCTGAGCATAAATGTGTAGTATGGATGGGCTCAGTAAATTGTAATAGTCCAAAATATCAGAGATTGGGGTATGTTTCTTCTCACTTGAGGGCTGAAGCATGCAACCATATTTAAAATGTGCTTGATCAGATGATATATGATCTGAATTTCTTTGCTTTTGTGGGCTCCAGCCCTGGAACTTTAACTCTACAGGTAGAGTTAAATCTAACTGTAAATTGGAGTTTTCCATTTTTAGGCAATCATATTACATCAGTTGTGTTTACTTGGGGTGAAAGTTAAGGTAGAAGGAGGGTTCATCAATCACCCCATGGCTTGAATTAACATGAGAGGTTGATCAGAGTTTTATTGCTTTGCAGGAGTATGGTTCCAACCATAACTGAAGGGATTCCTTTTCTTTTTGGAAAATTCTCCTCCTTTTTGAAATATAGCAAGACATAAAAGTCATAACTATGTGGGGGGCTATAACAATAAGCAAGGCAAACAGCAGGAGGAAAACATCAAGGACTTGTGCAAAACAGAGTAGCTTCTTCCAATCAATACTAGATAGATGTCCAAAAGGAGAAAAAGTTGCTATAGCCATTTGAGCCTGTCTATTAAAAAGAATGGTCCTGCCCACTGCAAGGTGTTGCTTATAACAACAACCACCACTGCCTGTTGGTTTGCTATTCATAGTTTCCCCCAGGAAGTGTTTCATCAAAAACTGGGTGGGTGAAGGAAAAGTAGGAAATAATTCCCACCCTATAATTGTGAAATTCTTGTCCGCTTCAGAAGAATGAATGTATAGGAGTGTCTCCATGTGATAGTCAGTAAAACAGAAGCCTTGCTATAATCTATAACTGTGCAGTGGAATAGGCTGCTTAGCAGTTTCTCTTGAGATAGAGATTTTGATCATATTTATGACCATGATGGATTTTTTAAAATTCTTAGATCAGAACCTGGTTCAAGAATCGAAGAATGAAGCATAAGCGGCAGACAAGCAGGCTATATCATGGGTTTGGGTCTTTGTTCTACTTTTCTCTGCTGGACAACCACAGGAGCCAGTCCAGTTCGTTTAATAATTTTGTCATGAATCCTCTCCAGTTTCAGCAAACCATTCGACCACTTATACAAAATTCCACAAGGCTTCTACAACCCATCCTGTCCATTCTTTGCACCAGATCTGCCTTGTCACTATCTCCCTCCAGTATTAATGTATCCAGTTGCATGCTGTTATATAGTGCAATGCATGTGTAATGTGAACCATGGCCAATCTTATAAAGCTCCTAATGTCGGAGATATGGATATATTATAGAATTTTCCATAAAGGGGTTGATAAGTATATAAATTCATAAAGGGCAAAGATAAATGAGGAGAGAACTGAGGCAGATTTTTTTTTAAAAAAAAATGGTTTGAAATGGGTTTTTAATTTTAAAAATAATGTAAAATATCGTAAGATCGTTTCTACAGCCCCTGTTAGTATAAAGTTGCATGGGACTGTTGGTTTTATCCAATTGTCTGTTTATTGTTATATTTGAATTAATCACTGCTTTTAATTGATATCTAGTTTAATTGATTTTTAAGGGGGGAAGGGAGTTTTGTTATTCAACTTGTATGTATTTTAGCTAGTAAACTTCCTAGATTGGTTCACCACCGGGCGGTATATAAATAAATTTTATTATTATTATTATTATTATTATTATTATTATTATTATTATTATTATTATTATTATATATACAAATATATAAAAATAAAGTATTTTAAATATAAAAGATCTTGACTATACATTTTTCCAAAGGTTACTGTTTTTGTTGATTGCCTTAGTTTGGTGTTATACAAAGTCCAACACCAAAAGGCAGATTGTGATGTGACTTCAACACACTTTAAAGGTCAAGCTACCTCTCTGTGCCTGTTTCTTTTACAGTCTCTAAACTAACAAGCACTTATTCCTACAGACACCTGAGGGGGAGGGGGGGGAAAAAGCCCCTACCTGGTCTTGCAAATCTACAATAGATTTCTCATTAGCTGTGACAGCTTTTGTTTTCAAACATTCTAGCTGAATGCTCCTAAGCACTTGCAACATGTCTTGGTACAGGAAATAAACCCCCACCTGCCTGGAAGCTGCTTTCAGCCTTCCTTCCTAGAGGGGCTATAGGCTGATGACCTTGGGTGAACCTCTGGCTGCTAAGCATTAAAAAGTGTTGGAAAACTCTGCCTTTGGGTGGCTAGCTCTGATACATTTTGGGCTAGCCTGGGCAATCAATTCAATGGCTAATGGCTGTGCATAGCATATGGGGTTTGTATGCAAAACTCCTATCACTAGTCCCAGGAATCACCATGTCATCATGACAGCCCCTTCACAGCCATTCTTTTGCAGGTGGAGTGCAGGGGAAAGGAGCATTGGAGAAATATCTGTTTCTGTTCTTATAGCCAGACACACACTGCGAACATTTTCCTTTGAGATTTGTCAGCGTCCTCTGAAGGTTTCAGTGGAAGATGTCATTGTTATGCATCTGGCAATGAGAACATAGCTAGATACTTCTCTGATACCTCCTGCTCTCCAATGGCAATTTAATAGGGACATTGGGAGCAGCTGTTTCAGCAACACATTGAATCTGAGTCGGGGATGGCTAGGATTTGGATTTTGCAGAGGAAGAGAATACTAACCTCGGCCAGGAATACATTGAGAACATTTTCCTCTGAGATTTGTTGGAGGCTTCTGGAGGTCTCAGTGGATGATGTCATTGTTATGTGTCTGGCTATGGGAACATAGTCAGATACATAACAATGACACTGGGCACTATGGCTATGGAAACATAGCCAAATGCTTCTTTGATACCCTCTACTCTTCAGTGGCAATGGAATGGGAATTGGAAACAGCTGTTGCAGCAACACAGTGGAGAGGGAGGGCTAGGCTTTGGATGTTCCAGAGGAATGAAAGGAAGATCAGCCTCAGGAACCATTAAAAATACATACAGGAATTTAGGATGGAATCACTAACAGGATTTCAACCACTGTGTGTGCACGTGTCCATACATCTGAG